ACTGAAATTGAAAAATTAAAAATTTTCAAAAAAGTATCAGCGGAGCATGAAAATCGAGGAGGTATTCACTGAAATTGAAAAATTAAAAATTTTCAGGAAACAAAATTCACCAAGCCGACTGGTCCCTCTGACAGTGGGACTGCTACTGAGGCAGTTACCGAGTCGGCTGACGGGCAGACACCCCACCATTGGGTGCGGCCCCCTCTTTCTCATAGGGTGAGGTAGACCCCCACAACTGAGCCGCTCAGTGGGGGGGTGAGTGACCCAACCGGCATTGTAGTACCTCACCCCAAGAGAAAGAGGGGGTCGCGCCCAATGGTGGGGGGTCTACCGGTTAACCGACTCGGTAACTGCCCCAGTAGCAGTCCCGCTGTCAGAGGGACTAAGCCACTGGGTGAATTTGATTTTCTGAAAATTTAAAACTTTTCAATTTCAGTGAATACCTCCTCGTTTTTCATGCTCCCCTGTTATTTTTTGAAAATTTTTCAATTTCAGTGAATACCTCCTCGATTTTCATGCTCCTCTGATACTTTTCGAAAAATTTCAAATTTTCAATTTTTAGTGAATACCGCCTCCATTCTCATGCTCCCATGATACTTTTTTGAAAATTTTTAATTTTTCAATTTCAGTGAATACCTCCTCCATTTTCATGCTCTCCCGATACTTTTTCAAAAATTTCGAATTTTCAAATTTCAGTGAATACCTCCTCGATTTTCATGCTCCCCTGATACTTTTCGAAAAATTTCGAAATTTCAAATTTCAGTGAATACCTCCTCCATTTTCATGCTCCCCTGATACTTTTCGAAAAATTTCGAAATTTCAAATTTCAGTGAATACCTCCTTGATTTTCATGCTCCCCTGATACTTTTTTGAAAATTTCGAATTTTTCAATGTCAGTGAATACCAATTTCGTAACACATAAAATAAAATTCACCCAGTTGACTACTGAGGCAGTTACCGAGTCGGCTGACGGGAAGACACCCCAATTGCGTGTGGCGCTCTCCCTCTCTTGGAGTGCAGTACTACGATGCCGCTGGGGTCATTCAAACCCCCAGAACTGAGCCTCTACTTCAGCCAATCCTCTTTGAATAGAGTCTTCATGGTGCAGACGCGTGACGCTCTTTTGTGACTCCACTGGCATTGCCAATTCTATGTGTATGTATACATAGGTAACAGGAATTACCTCGGCAAGCGAATTTCTCGGAAAAAAGTGAATTAATAAACGAATCAGTCACTCCCGTACTCGAGACACTACTACACGTCTTCTAAACCGCAAAGCTCGAACAAAGTTAATTAAAGTGAACAGTTGGGGCAAACAGCAGTTTTTTTTTTTGCCCTGGTGAAAAATTAAATAACCTTACTAATACGACTGTGCGCAGTCTGCCATAGTGACAAACTCATTTCCTTTTCCTTTTCAAAAATCAGTGGAGAGATAATAATTTGTTCGATCTCTGGTTGGTCTCGTTACACAATGACTGTCTGGAGCTAAACAAATCTAGTTTTTGCGGAATTCTCATTCTAATGGAGCAAGATTATTGATGGAATTTGTAAAAAAGTGTCGTGAAAGTGTTTAATAGAATTTTATTTGTTGATAATAACAATTGGCAGGGGTGAATTGTTGAAATCACGAGGTTGGATTGAAAAATGACAAACGAAATTAAACAGCCAGTTAGCAATCTCGAGACAGAGTATCTGGAGATTAATTCAACAAATGCATGGTCGATTTTCTATCAGCACATTCGAGAGGAGTATGGAAATTTCAATTATACGTGCGATGAGTCAAAAAAACCGCAGAACAAAAACCTCAATCGTTATAGGGATGTGGCACCTTATGATCACTCCAGAATAATTCTCCAGAAAGGACCATATGATTACATCAATGCTAATTTACTCAATGTGGAGCGTGCACACAGACGGTACATATTGACTCAGGGACCTCTGCCAAATACCTCTGGACACTTTTGGCTAATGGTATGGGAGCAAAATTCCAAAGCCATTGTCATGCTTAACAAAGTCATCGAGAAGAGTCAGATTAAGTGTGATCAGTACTGGCCACTGGAGACTGTGGAAGAACCATCGTTGACGTTCGTCGATGTTAACCTCAAAGTTGATTTTGTCAACAGAACCCAGTCACTAGATTACACCACTAGGGTCTTGAGATTAACTAATCTCGATTTAGGCGATTCGAGGGAAATTCTTCATTTTCATTACACCACATGGCCGGATTTTGGAGTGCCAGAGAGTCCAACATCTTTTCTGCAGTTTCTCAATGACGTCAGGAGGTCTGGGGTCCTTGATGAAAATGTGGGACCACCCATTGTACATTGCTCTGCTGGAATTGGAAGATCTGGAACATTTTGTCTCGTCGATACTTGTCTTAAGCTGGTACATCAATTTTTCATATTCTCTTGCTCCGAATTTATTAATCATCCAGTTTAATGAATACTTATTTGTTTGACTTGCAGATCGATGAGAATGGACTGAATTCAGTTAACGTTCGTGACCTTCTCCTGGAGATGAGGCGCTCGAGAATGGGGTTGATACAGACCCCAGATCAGCTGAGATTTTCGTATGCTGCCATCATCGAGGGCTCCAGAGGGCTACCGTCTAACAACGTGGTAACTAATACCAATTCACAGTGGGGCATTGCTTTTACACTTGTTTAAATTTATGATAAATTTGTAAAAGAAGTTAACTCATCTGTTCCATGAGTATATCTCAAATATCTCCAGGAAAGAGGGAGATACGAAAATTTTTGTATTCAACGTTTTTGTGGATCCTCATCAAATCTACAAAAAAGGTTTAATGGAAATTTTTCTATTTCAGTTCATTCCCGAGATATTTTCATATTACATGTTTTTTTATGATAGAAACAATGAACGAGTTTAGCAGCAGTGTTCTACTGTGATTTTAGGTGATATTCGATGTTTCATATATTAATTTGGATTTTTCAGAATGGCATAACGACTGAGAACCACGACGACATTATGAACAATATCCACAATCTCGTCAATCAGAATAATGTCGAGGAAGAGGATGACGATGAACCACCACCACTGCCTCCACCTCGAGGCGAATCTCTCACCAGGAGCATTATATCAGATCAACTGAGTAATGATTCGTCTCCAGAAAATGGTCATTCTCACTGAAATTCACTTATCTCCCTAGCTAGAAATCTTAATGAATCACTAATACTCATTTATTTTGTTTTAAATATTTAGAAATTGAGCCTCGCCCTCCAAATAAACCCCTGCCCATGGAGCCAACGCCGAAAATAGCAACATCAAATTCTCACAATAATGAAGATCATAGGCCCAACAGCTCAAACTCGTAAATATATTTTCTTTCTTTATAATCAAAGACTAGAATATTCCAATGTAGACATAAAACGTGATTAAGTTGGATACATCTTTATCGATTATGTAATCGTCTTGGAAATGAGTGATTTCAGTGGAAGCTATCAAAGAACTTTTGTTGTAGGTTGTGAGATTTCCACCAGAGAGTCTCTCCTAACGTCTCTTTCTCACTCAATTCGAAAATAATTACATAATTAATAGAGATCTCTTCTAGAGTAATTTTATTCCATTCTGTTAAATCATTCTGTGTTATTCTCAAATTCTAGGAATAACAAATTACGTCATCGTTATCAGGATAAGAACGAACGACTGGCTCGTCAGGTGCGGGATATTAAACGGAAACAGCAGCAGACTGAAGAGGGGCAGAAATTGAAGAGGTCATTATTCAACCCAGTTACAATAGGAATAGGTAGCGTAATCATTGGTGGGGGTGTTATCGCGTTATGCAGTTATCTGTATGTCAGAGGGTAATAATGAGAAGACAGCAGAACGGCAAGAAAAGAAAAAATAATGACAATTTATTTTTTTTCATTTTTTCCAATCCGTTTTTTTCTTCTCATTTTAATTAATTAGTCTCAATCTTAAGGATTGAGAGATCGTTGAAATTATTTAAATTTAACAAATTTTTTGAACATGATAGTGTTTGATCATCAGAGTGTCAATTTATTTTTGAATTTATGAGCCCCGGGGCAACGTTACTGAGTAATGAATTTCGAGATACCAGAGAAATAATTCTAAGTAACGGAGAAGTGATTGGAGTGTTTTTTCGTAATTGTATTTTTGTATTCTGATACCGTAAAAAGATCGTAACACTGGCTGAAGTATTTAGAGAATGGAGAAACTAATGAACTTCATACTCTGAAGAGAATAAATTCAACATCTTTTACTATTGGCTCGAGAGTAAAAGACAACATTGGAGAAGAAAAAAAAACAAGACTTCGTAAAATAGAGAGATGTGTATTTTTTTAAATTTTTATACATCAATAACGCAATTCTTATGGCAGAAAACCGAAATTTGTAATCTGAAGACAAATTGACTGAAAGTTTCTCCAGAATATATAACCCACGTCTTTCTACTCCTCTCCATAATGGCTTCTTTGTTTTTCATCTAAAAATTAATGGATAAATTTTATTCTCAAAATAATAAAAATTTGCATGGGTCACCAAAATCCCTTCAGGGTATTAAATACTAAATATAGAAGGAGTGAAAGATAAACGAATGAATTTAGAAATCTAGTAATCATCCTATTAATCCAGTAGATGAAAAAATACATAAACTATGTAAATCTAGTTTTCAATTAATCAAGATAAATCCACGTAAATATTTTGTCCCTCCGCAAGGAATGGAGATGAATGATTAATCGTCTAATTAATAATGTGAATGTATGAAGCGTTCTCTTTTTTTTAAAGAAAAAAAGAAGAGTCAGCTATGGTAAAAACAAACGCAATGAAACGTGTTGGTATATTCATTTCGTGCTATTCCTGACGTCATAATTTCATTATCTAAAGAACTAGTTTCAAACGAAAATTACATTCCACGAGACATTACAAATCCAATATATTCACGAGAATCTCCGAGAGGTGTGAATCACTTCCCACGTGTATAGAAATCATTAATTACCCGACAAAATGACAAAATATCCAATACGATAAACCCTCAGCTGTTGCATTCATACTGTATCCCCCCGATCAATCTAGACACGGTGCTAATAACGATATAACAGAATTGACAACAACAAATTCAATAGATGTGTATAAGTGCGAAAAAATTTTAATAAGTATGAGTCAGCCGACGCGTATGTAGATTTATAAAGAAGACAAGAATAAATCGTAACTTTATTACAAAACGTGAATCGTAATTTAATGTAACAGAACGAAGGACAAAAACCAGAACTATAAAACCATAGAACCCAACCATAATGTACCATCACTGGCTGATTTTTATGTACCCCAAACCCTTAATTTTCATCAATAATCCGGTAAACTAAAGAAGTGCCTATCGTATTTTTGATGGATAACAGTTGCTATTACAATCCTAGAAATTAAATATACAGAAATGAAACAGGATGAACAGAAAAAGGGAGCGATAAACCGCCTAGAAAGTCACATTTTTTACGTATAAAATGAACCGAAAAAAAAATACAGACGCGAAATGACGAATTTATCTGTATTAAAGTATTTTTCTATCAATAATTTTTTTGTCTCGCTTTGTTGCAATTGTTTTCTTCTTCTTTCCTTTTTATTTTAAAGTCAAGAGTTCTTCATCTGGTACTTGATTTCAGATCAAAAAATGAAACGACGGAACCCAGTCCTGATACTGTACACGAGGAGGCAGAATCGACGATATGAAAATAGACGTTATTTACTTGGGATATAGTAACAAAAACAGAAACACCCACAATTTAATGAATCAATTTTTCTCTTGCAAATCACGAATTGATAATAATTTGGCTCTTTGTTTTAATACTTGGTGTATTCGGGAGAAGTAACGATTGTATATTAATTCAGCAAAGACTATTTAATGAAATTATCATCGATGTTTTTGATAAGATTCAATAAAAGCGCACTATTTGATATATTTTAAAAACTCTATTCCATTTACCTCACTCGACTTCTTTTTTTTCAATCCATTATCGAATTTGGAGCTGTCACTTCACTTAACCATCTCGAAGATCTGTCGTCTCCCTATCAGTAAATGATTTGTATTTATCAATAATGAAACTATCTTTCATTATTTATACTTGGGTTTTTATCTTACTATCAACGGTGTTGGGCAAGACCCATCGATCTACTAAAATACGTAGAAATCATGGCAGACACGTAGCTATCAATTCCCAATCAAGGCATTACAGAAACGATTCGCTGTTGAGAAAAAAACGAACTGACTTGTATTACACCCAGAATCCGGTTAAAGAAGTGCAATCAATCATTTTAGAGGAGAGTATGAATAATTCAACGGGTTCAGGCGTCTCAGAAAGTCCAAGGAAGGATTTGCAGTCTCAGGAGTTGGCAAAAATCTTTGGTATAACCGAAAAAAACTCCAACATGACGAATTTCGATCAACTTCTGGACACTGAATCCTTTGAAAAACATGTCCGAGTTAAACGTGATAATCCAGACTTCAATGAAGTCATAAATCCAATACCCGATGAGCACGAAGTACATCTCCAAAAAATCTCCATGGACGACGACAATTCGATATCAAAAAATAATTTCGAAGATGTTTACCCCGATTCGGCTGGACTAATCGACTACGATACGCCAATCGCGCGTGTTCTGAAGACAAAACGAGAAGTGAGAAAGGATTCACCTCCACTAGCTGATAAAAATCTCGAGTGCCCGAAAACACGGGAGAAACGCAGGAAAAGTTCCAACAAGATTGGAGACTTCAGCGATGTCCACGAGAATGAGTTAGTGAAGAGCAAATTGAATTTGAAAACGATACAAACAAGATCCATCGAGGAAGCCAAAGAGCTCGCTAGCAAATTAGTTGCCAAGGTTCTATTTTTTCTTTACTTTATCCAGAACAAACTTATCCAACATGTCTCACTATTTTTCTCTTCAGGTTAACGAAATTGAAAATTTAATGGACGGTTCTCCATCGCCGGTCTCATGGAATCAAACGAAAGCTCGAATTATGGATCAAGTTTTGAGACCTGAGAGATTCGCTAATTATTCAGGTAAAAAATAAAGTGCAGGGGGAATTTAATTCTGCAAATGTTTAACAATATTTGTATTTTAAATCAAAGATAGCTAGAAATTCAAAGTTGAATCGACCAAAGAAAATGAAAAAACGACGCAACCAAAGAGCCCGCAGGCGAAATCACAGGAAGAAACGAAAATCCCACAGAAAATGGGATCGATGGAGCGATTGGAGCAGTTGCAGTGTGACATGTGGCAAAGGCAGGCAAATTCGATGGAGACACTGCATTCGAGATTGTACAACAGCAGAAACCGAAATGGAGGAAAAAATATGTCAATTGCCTGCCTGCGCTCCGGGCAAATTCCTTGGCATCTTTTAACAATGAATTTTGATAGTATTATGTACTTATTATATAACTCTACGTACACTGACCTTGAAATAACTATTTTGAATAAGATTTTTTATGAAAATAATCATCCCCCCTGGACTCTCGTTTTTTTTCCTCTCCTCTTCTTTAATCAATTCTCGTTCTCTCATTTCGAATATGAAATACACAACGTATTGTACATAATAATAATGTTAAACACACGAAATCATCACTATCATCGTCATTTTCACAATATCAACGAGTGCCGGCTCTATATCTCATTCATTTATTCATTTTTATTTTGAAAATCTTAAAATATACAAATTGTTACTTTGTTTTATCATCAATTTATGGGCATAGGCGATGTCGTTCCTTTATTCACTCTTTCATTTTCAATTGGAATAAATCATTTTTGGAAGAAACAGACCCTCTGTTTCTTCATCACAATTTTTATTCACTCATTTTGCGGTTAATCGCGAGAATAACACTCTTATCATTACAAGAAAATAACGCGACTTTTCTAATTACCAATTCATTGGGCATCATTACTGTATTGACTCGGTGACTTGTTTTTCTACGAAAAGTTTCGCCGATCACTGTGATACAACAATTATTCGCTCATACTGGCAGAAAATAAAATAACAAAAACATAATAACTAGTAAAAGAAATGGAATTTCCAGTGCTTTTTAAATTTCATTATTTATACATATATAAATTTTATTAATTGGCAGTAAAAAATTGCGCTCTATCGCATGACCAGGGACAGTGGTCACTAACTCTGGGGCTTCTATTATTTTTCACTTTCATCCATAAAAAATTGAGCTCAAATCATGATCAAATGGTGCGTGACAAAATGTGTCGACTTCTCCAAATTTTTATCTCCATCATCTACTTCTTTCGATTCAAATAACACAAAAAAAAATAAATTCGCTAGACTCATCGTTGTCTTCTTGTTTCCATTTATGAAGGAAGTAATAACTGAGGCGAATTTGTGTAACAACGTTAATCAAGAATGTATGTTCATCTCTCACTATAATGCATATACTTTGTTATTGTTCATTTGTGTTTCTTTTTGTCATTACATTGATTTCCATGTTGATTCAGTTCCTTACACTTGATCTAGTCCAGGCAGTACGAGGATCGGTTCGTCGGGCCATTTTTCTTGCTATTTTTGAAAAACACTACCGGCTACCTTTCTCACATCTCTGTCTGGATCTTGACGTAACACTCGCAGTTTCTGACTGATTTCCTCGAAGTGCTCTGGTCCCATCCTGTCTAAGAGAGGATTCAATACATTAATCAAATGAAAATGATCATTTCCATAATTTTAATAACAATATGTTTCATTTGACAGCTATCGTAAGTTCAAGAATTGTTCGGTAATTAATATTTATTGAATAGAACAGGTAATTTGCAAATCCATTGAGGGAAATACGATAAAAAATACTTACTCCTTATCTTTAAGGCCTGCGTCGTGAGTGTTCTCGCAACAAACAGTCGGACATTAGGAACAACATCTGAAGAAAGATTCAGAAGAGAGGGCAGCATATCCTTAGCGAATCGCTCCCCAGAAATAGCTCCACTCAATAAAAGAAACTCACAGAGACGTGCGTAAGTCTGACGACAAGTCCACTTACTCGAATTGGCAGTCAACATCATTCGGAGTTCCTGGATAATCGCTGTGACGAGTTTATCATCAGTCGAGAGATACGAGATTATTCGCGTCACCTAAAGCACACAAAGCACCACAAGTAAATCCACAAATTCATCCATGAAGAATATAATTTATAAATTACAATAGAATTCTGTGACCAAGTGGTAAATATTCAGTGATTTTTTCAATTATCTCTACAACTAAGGGAAATAATGAAATTACTACCGAAATTTTTTTTGGAGAGATGACTGCGAGGAACAAAAAAGGTGGTTATAAAAAATTTACTAATTGGTCTGGTTTTGGAGATATTTTGGAAAAACCCAGGAAAGGGCTATATCAATTGACTTTTGCCTGTTGGTTATTGCATTTAATTCTTACCAATACAACAGCCATATGTCGAACAGCAGCAACTTTGTCCACAAGCAGTGGGAATGATAATGGAGCAATGTGGGTAGAGACATCCTGAGTACAGTAAAGTGGAAGAGTCTCGAGCAATCGTCTAGCAACTTCCTCCCTAAATCTCCAATTCCTCTCATTCCACTCGCTGTCCCGCGTTAGAAAACACTTTAGATTGGGTAAAAATTGACGTCTGTCAGCTGGCTTGAGTACCTTGAGAAACGTAGCAAGATGCTTGAGGGCACCTATTCGTACCTCATCAAGATCCTTGATGAAGCCCTCATAAATGGGCAGAAGATCCTGGGCCGATAACTCTTCACCGAGTATCAGAGCAATTTCATGAATACTAGAAGCCATTGTTCTTCTGACTTTGTACTCTCTGGCATCTGACAAATAACCATAGGCAGCTTTCAGCATACTCCAATTCTCTCTACCAAGTGTCAATACAACAGCGGGAAAGTAAAATGCACAGAAACGAGGAATTTCAGCACTATTTAGACTCCACCATGCCTCTGGATTTGCCATTGATACAAAAAAATCAATTAACACCTGTGGTACAATTGTCTGACTTCCAACATCACTGACACTTCTGTTTATTGGTCGATGCTGTTTCTCACAAAAACTTACTTCAGACGATGTGTCCATTGACACATCAATCGTCTCATTCAATTCCCTTGAGTCTGATGATGTCTGAGTATTTACGTCAATTTCATTGCTATCAACTTCACTAGGTTTAATCGATGCATTCTCTACCTCACAACTATTGTCATTCACTACTACTGCCCCTGGAAAATCGCTGAGATCATCTCCCATCACCTGTTTATCCTGTTTGTCTGGTTCACCTTTGTGATTTTCTTTATTATCATCGGGAATTGTTACTTCTATTGTTGGTACATGACACTCATTCGACGTGTCTATGTGCACTTCGATTTTCGAGGATTCAAAATTTGTCTCCGGTGATTTATACCCTTCACTGGCTGCTCTGACTAATTCATCGTCAAGGGGCAAATCAGGTGGTATGTAGTAGTACAGAAACGGACTGAATTGATTGGGATCGTCACTCGATGAACTATCATCTATTGATTGTGGGTCAACTTTCACAATTGCATTGAATTCCTTGATCATTTCACCGAATTTTTCGATCGCCTCCTCGTACTTCTGGATGGTCGGCCGCTTTCGGGATGTTATGTTCCTTTCAGTTCCTCGTGACAGTGGAGAATCGAGCATTTCGGAATTGTTATCGTCGTCCTCATCTGTTGATGATTTACAGGCGGCTGATGACTCTGCCGATCCAGAAAATGATATCCTGAAAATTCGCGATTGTTCACTGGTGAATTATTCAGTCGATGCGATTTATCCTGGGCTTTGCAGCGTGTCAAGCATTCGAAAAAAAATCCTGGAGATTTTGTGAAAATCAGGAGGGAGGGATGAAAATAAAAATAATTGACGAGCATACATACATGTTATACCTGAGCTCGGTACCATGTTGATCCGTTAATACAAGTTCACCATACTGATTGTAAGCAAAATCAGTGAATTGTTTTGCAAATATCGAGATGAAAGGCCCGAGTATTTGGTATGCTGATAATTTGACCCACTTTGACTCATCGTCAAGAAAGTTAGCAAGTATTGGTGATAAAGTGTTACGACGATGCTCGAGCGATACACAGCAGGCTATCGATACCATTACTTCGGCACAAGATTTTCGAACTGTCCAGATTGAATCTTTGCAGAGAGACACGTATATTGGCAGCTAAAATGATAATTGCAAATATTCTAGATTCTTCATCACAATTCAATATCGAATATTATGTTTAGGGTCATTGTGAAAGTAATGATTATCTGAGAATTTTCACGATTATTTTCAGATTATTATAAAAATAGATTGTTTTAAATTTAAATCCACCAGGACAGGATTATTATTAAAAAATTGAGATCCCTAAATGAACCAAATGCATGAAATCTGTCAATAGACTTCGAGATAATTCCGTAATTAATTAGATTTCATAGGATTCAGTCAATGGTCTTACCAATTTTTCTAAAATGGTCTCCTTGGTCATCGAGGCTGAAAACTCGCCAAAGTGTATAGCACAGAGTTTTCGGAAGAAGAAATTTCCATTGCAACATAGCGACAGGTATCTTTTGAGAAAAAGCCGCTCAGCTGTCGCGGGATCGAGTAGTGGAGCGACCTTGCTCATCCCCTAAGGAAGAATAATTGAACTTGAATTTGTATCCCTCAACGGTAATTATTCGTTGATTAGGAAAATAAAAATTTGCTGTTCAATTGATTTTACTGCAAGAAAGTGAACGATTGATGAGATTTATCGCTCTGTATCGCTCATCAAAGCTGGCTGTGATATGCATTTATTAATTCACCACATCACAACCACTCTGACGGGCAAAACAGCCGATATTTACAGATTCTGAAATTCTTTATACAAGCAAATACTTCTAACAACGAAGGAAGCACACAGTTTATTGATTACTCCTATTAATCATAGAATAATCAAAAATTCATATCCTAAAGCTCGTAATTACTGAAATGACTCCACGATTAACAGAAATAGCAAATCTATCACTTCATTTTACTCTTTACACCGAACTATCAGTTAATACGGAACATTTCTCAATTTTTTCGTCCCCATAAATCGATAAATCCGTGAAAAGTAACATGTCGATGTAATTGATAGGTGAGTTTTCCAGGAATATCTCCGAATCTAAAAGAGATCGCTAAATTTACGTGGTTACCTTTTTTGTACCTCTCATAACACTCTACAAAAAAGATTCCAATGAAAATGTCGCTACCTCACTTAGATTCAGATATATCACTCAAAAACCCAAGCGCAATTCAAATCGAAATGTTTCAATTTCCCTTCTGAATTGACGATTAAAGATTCCAATTATTCGTTTCAATTATTAAAAATATTAATTCATCCGCTCAACTGAAAGGAAATAGCGAATATCGTTCCGTCAGAATGCGGGCTACAGTAAACTTGTATTTTCTGGCAAATTTGATGTAGAAGTTGATAAATAAAAATATCTGCAAAGTCCAACGACATCCAGGGTGTCTAGTGGTACATATTTGAAACAGGACAAGTGAAAAACTGTGAAACAAGGAAAAAGATATTCTCCAGTTTTGATTTTTTAATTTCGATAATATTTTGATTATTGGTCATTACTGAATTGTAGATGCCGCGACGCTCATCAAAGCTGGCTGTGATATGAATAAACATAACACATACAACAGCCACTCTGTGAGCGACGCAACTATCAATTTCCCGACGTTTCCTCACTCCTCCATGACTCCTTAACATCATCCCTACTTGATTGAACCTAATTCATACCTAATTCATTGAAATCCTTCCTCTTCAATCCTGTGTGACGTTAAAACGGCGATCCAACTTGTCAAAAATGGCTGTGATATGAAAGTAAACAACACGTCACAACCATTTTGACGATTGGATCGCGTTTCCTCCTTACGGAGTATTTTCCTCTCCAGGGATTCGTCGTGAAAGATAAAAATGATAGAAACAAAATAAAAAGATAGATCGATCGTTTTATTTTCCCCTGTTCTCTCGATGTGATTGGATTGTAGAGGATTTCTACGAGCCGACCTCATCAAAGTGGCTGTGATATGACTGACAACATTCCACAACCAATTTGATGTACCGGACCGCAAAAAAATTTTCAATAATTACCTGAAAAAACAATAAATAAATAATCGACATTCTCCTGTCGTTGGCTCATCATTGAACACACCCTGGTTGACATTGGACACAATTTTGCTCATCAAAGCTGGCTGTGATAGTCGAAACTCTATGACAAACCAGCTTTGATGGTAAAAGCATGTCCTCGCCTGAAATTTCGAAAAAATTAACGGATTACTCCTGCAATTCCTGTGTGGGACCTCCACAACGAATCAAGTCGAAGGAAAACGAGAGGACATTGATAATAAATGCGAAAAGACGAACGCCACATGAAAGACAAGGTAGTGAGACGCGAAGTGTCGCAGGAACATCTCACTACCCATGTCTTTCACCCAGAATCCGCCATTATCTGCCCTCGTTCACGTGTGATAATTAGACATTTGTTTAGTTGATGAAGCAGGGTATGGAGTCGGTTTGTTGAAGAAAATAATGGATAATAATGAATAATAATGAATAATAATCGAATAATGATTGAAACTCACGTCAATGGCAAGTGTGACATATTCAAGTTTGGCTGGTTGTTGTCCCATCATCAGGAGAGTGGGTGCCAATACGAATTCGATCGAGTCCTTGTCCAGAAGACCTCGTTCGATAAGTGTGAGTAAGGCTGTGTGGGTGGAATTTCGTACCTGTAATTTGTTTCAATTCGAAATGTATTTTTTTAAAGAACGATACCGATTTTAAACGAAATTTCACTCACACTCTCGTTACAATTTCATCTACATTTTCAATTGTGCGTGTTTGATTTTTATTTTAACTATAATTGTTCATTAGACTTCTGATTCATTTTTTTTTACCAAATAAGAATTGGAAATAAAATTTAATGAAGTTATTGCCTGAATTTTCAGTATTTCCCGGATTTTTCCGGACCGCATAGTCCCGATAACTGAAAATTAATTGAATATTCAATAAATTAACCGATTCGCGATTTGATAGTTATTAAAATTATTAAAAACTTCTGAAAAATAATTCGTCTAAAAATAGTAGTTACAACAAATAACGGTAAAAATGCGATTAATGCTCCGAATATATTCATGGAATACTAAAAAAAATTCTCCAGCCTGAGGACTTATCCACAGAAATAAATTTTAGAAATAAATTAACCTGTTGATCCTCATCATGAAGGAATGTTGCAATTAAATGAATCAAGTGATTCGATAAAACATTCCCAAATCTTTCAGGCGCCTCCTGGCATATCATCGCCACATGCGGCAGCTGCTCGATAAGGTCCAGTCTTACGATAGCCTCTGGAAGAAAAAAAAATATTTTCAATGAATAAATCCATCGAGCGATCGTCGGTGGATGTATTGGTATTGGCTGAAGTATTCAGGCATTTTAGTAATTATGATGAAATCCAAAATGGTAAGTACAATAAATGAATAAATTCATAAGTACAATGTCATTCCTGGAAGTGAGCACAGGTATACGACTTTCTCTGGGTTCCGGGCTCTCGAGGATTCATGCTCCAAGTTCGAAAAAATTTCAAATATTCTAGGTAAAAGGACCCGAGAGATTTCCAAGAATTGGCTCTTCTCCTTCTCACTGCACTCAACTCCGCAGAAGGAATTCGGCGTGTAAATTGTGCGCGGGAAAATCATGATTGCACTGAATGTATCCAAATAATTGTCTACTTTACTCCAAAAATATTCACCAACTTTAAAAATTCAAATGCACGATTGAATTTTCCCTTTTTCCAATTTCAAAAAATTGTGAGCGAATCTCAAAAAAAAAATGGACACTTGCACTTTCTTTTTGGTCTGCACTTGACGATTTTTTTTTCAATTATTGTATTCAAATTTTTACAAACTCTCGCGCATCAACTGTTAAAAACGCGGGAAAGCGGGAAAGCGGAAAAACTGAATCGTCAAGCGTTCGGTCGGAGCGCGTGGGGACAACTGATAGAAAAACGCATCTTCCAGAAGGAAAATGAGTTCCCGGAAGAAGCCAAAAATGGGGAAGGGCCTCATCCCCACCCCCGAAAATTCCCTTCATCACTCAACATGAAAGGAAGGCAACAATTTGGGACGATCGGGCCGCAGTTGTCTCTTCTCGATCTCTTGAAATTTCCGACTTTTTTCCCTTCCTAAAACCCCCGCCCCATGAATTTCTTGAAGCGAAGGAAGCAGAAGGCACCATGTGTTGACTCATTACTATTTTTTTTTTCTATTTTCCCTGACTTCCCCCATTGACTGGAAAATCCAAATCTACAGACTGCGCGCGTGTCTCGATTTAGGGGTGAGGGTGGGAAAAAGGGAGTAATTTTTTATGGTGAACTGTTGGCGCATGCTAGACCCCAAGATGATCCTTGATCTCCTGAGGAAGTTCAATATACGACTGCTGTTTGGGCTGTAGTCTCTTACAATCTATCACTATGTCTTATCTTTCACTTCCTTCCTCTTAACTTGGGGGAACACGCATGGGACCCCCTCAGAATCACTAAAAATAAAAATCCAACATCTCGCTCTCTTCCCCCTTAATCTGTTTCTGGTTCCACTGATGACACGTGATGAAATCACTGTCAATCCACAATATTCTATTTCACTTGAAACCACAAACTAAACAAGTAAAAGTATTTTGCTCCCTATTTTTAGTCTAAATATAGTCTACTTTAAAAATTATGGGCTTTATCCAATTTTTTGCTAGGGAAATTTGTGGGAATATGATTATTTAAAGAATCAATGTTGTTTCCATCGGTGAAAAAACATTCAAGTGATGTTTAATAATAAAATGAGGTAGACTAAGACATTGCAAGTTCGTGGGGGTTCAGGTTTTAAAAATAAATCCCCCTGATTTTCTGGTTTGACTCATTCTTAGATGCCAGGGTGTCTCACTTCCGGTGACAAAGATACCCCTGAGACACTGGACCCATCAATAGCTTTCTCTCGTTACTTTAACCTACGATACTTCAAAACTACAGAGGAAAGAGTCTTTGTACTGCGACTATCACATACTTCATTCGAGCAATTCCACAAATAATTGAATATTCATTGCTCGAGTGTGCGCAGACATTTTAATTGTTCTTCATGAGAAAATCGAAGGGTGCAGGAAAATTTGAGTAATATCAAGCAGAATACAGTGGAGAGGTGATTGATTTTTAATCAATGAAGGATTTTGTCCATTTGTCAGTAATTTACAATCCTCGATAATACAACTGTGAGAGCAAGCAGGCCAATGTTAAGTGCATTTTAACTTACCCGTGTCGTTAACCAATTTGTGGACGGGCTGCATTACCTTGGAGACGTTGAGCTCCGTGCAATGGTCGACGGCATTCCGAAAAATGTCCACCAAAAGTCGACCTACCAATTGTCTGTAACAGAATAAATTAAAGAAATTGTGAATAAAAATGTGGAATACGGTTTTATTCATTAAAATCTACTTAAAGTACATTTGAGCTAATCTGTGGTAAAAAAAAATTATCATTCCCAAAGTAATTGAGCTTTTGGAATTTTTTTTCACTGTTTTTAATAATTTTTAAATTTATTATATATGATATTATATATATATAGTAAATCAAAAAGATTAATTACATTAATTTCCATTAGTTGGATTAATTGGATTAGAGAGATTGCGATTTTAATGAAAAAAATTATTTATATTGATTCTCTCGATAAATCAATGAAATAAGAAATTTGATTTTTGTCTCAAAAAAAAAAAGAATTGTGCAATCCAAAAAAAGTAAAGATCTAATGAAACTAAAAGTGAATTAATTATTCATTAACATAAAGAATGAATTTTTTCAATTGATAAAAAGAATAAAAACTGATCTTGAATAGTTGTTCGGAAAAAAATTGTTTCAAAAAGACGAAAACTTTCTCCTGGTGATGAAAAAAATGTTAAAAAACTGATTGAACCCCCACTCCGATGGTGAAAATGGGGAGTGGGTGGGGGGGAGTTGGTGTGCTTTAAGATCTTGTATGTGACAAGAGGAGAGGGTGATTGAAAAAGGGGTGGGGGTAAAAAAGAGTGAGAGAGTGGTGAAAGGATGCGATACCATTGGCCGGTGTATCGGCCACGCGGCTCCAACATTGGGGCACAAGTGGGGGAGGTGAACAGACACGACTCGCCGACGACTAGCCGACGATCGTGGCGCGCTTCAGCGTCGCGACGCCACGCCCACGACACCCGCGCAAACATGGCCGCGTGTACCCACCGAAAATGCGCGGGACGCACTCCACATATGTACTCTATATATACATTGAGTATGTAGACATATAAACTTTAGCTACATCCCGGGTTAAATGACAGAGAAGGCGGAAAATGAGGTCTTCCTCGAAATATAGGCTATTTCGTGCCATATATAGAATCAAGTGGGTGTACCCACACATTTTTCCAGTCTTTTCTCTCGAGAAAGAATTTTCTTCGCAGTTAAAAAATATCTTCTGAGTCCCAATGCCATTGAAACAAAATTATCCCTGAATTTAATAATTTCGAATGAGATATGAGTTAAGAGTTTAGTCTGGACTAATAAATGATTGGAAATATTTGAGTTTGAAAATGTGTGAGGATTTATCTGGGGAGGTTTAATGGAGGAATAATTATTTTTAATGGGGTAGTCATTTTCAGGGCGAAACACTCGGGTAATTAATTTTTAGAGATGATTTTTTTCAAGTCCTGAAAGGGGATGAATTTTCGAGGGAAATTCTAGGGGAGTACGAGAAAATAGGCACTAAGTGGCGGCCAGGAAAAATTATACTGTATTATATTTCGTTTCTGGGAAAATTTTATATAAAGGCAGGAAAAATTCTTGTGGAACCCTAGAATTCTCTTCGAGCCATTATTTCATTGCTTTTTCCTAGAATTTTATTTTCCCCATAAAACTGCTAATAATTATAATAACTAAAAACATAATATAATGTAACTCATGGGTCGATTCTCCGAAAATATATTATCCACCATTTTCATAAATATTTTCGCAAACGAAAGACATTTTTTAATTATATCATTATATACTGAACACATAATAATGATAAATGCATTGAGTACACGAGAAACAATTATTTTGCTGAATTCCGAATTAAATGAATTAAATTATAAAACTCAATATCATAAAATCTTGTAAGACTTGATTATTTTGTTTTATTTCTTCCCAGAGGATTACCTCTTTTCAATCCAGGATTCAAAATGCAGAATTCCTCAGTTTCGATTACAAAAAAAAAATGGTTCTTTCGATTCTCTTGAAATCTAGTTCTTTTTAAATTTTAGCTGTCGAAGGAAATTGTGTTTCACCGAAGTAGACTCACGAAGGCCAATAACTTTGAGTATTCTCTGGGAAAATCCCGTCAAGTTTAATAGAGTTTCCATACAAGAGACGTATATGATCTCATTCCATCATCTCCGTATATTCCTCTATCAAAATGGCAGCTACCCCACCCTATATATTGGTGCTACCTTAAAGATAAGTGTGTGCATCATGCATATTGACACGGATCAATTTTGTTTCATTGAAATTCCATCGAAGCCCTTCAAAAGCCTACGACCAACGTGAAAAACCCCACAAAAGAGCCCTTCTAGCTACAAAAAAAAAATGAGAAAAAAAAAATAACACATGTTTGAGAGCCTCTCTCTCTCTCGCCTTCTACGATTCGCGTTGTAAAATAAAACCAACTCAATTTGTCTCAGCAATTTTTAAAGATTACTCTGCGTGTGCCTCCAGCTCTCCAGGTGCTTCCAAATGGCAAGTCAGAGGAAACAGAAGGAAAAAAAAAATAGGGGCTCGACTCTGTCTGTGCATCTGTCGTTCATGTAGATCCATAAATCAATCTCCCCCAAACGTTTCTCTCGGTTTTCCAGGTGAAATAAATGTGGCACGGAAAATTCAGGAAATTCATGGCAAAAATGTGGCAATTATTTAATCTCAAAAATAAAAACCACTTAAAACCAAATTAAAATATTGTTCAACCCCATATTTCCCTTCTGCGTGTAAACACCAAAGGGAAATGACCTCGAGCCTCGCGTAAAAATATGGCAAAATGAAAGTTTCGAGGGTTAGTCTACAAAAAAAAATGAAAAAAAAAAAAAAGATTTCTCACATAACTGGTGAATGGCCATGAATTAAAGATAAACGTCAACAGCGGCATTACGATAGTTGAAAGTTCAATCACTCGTCCATTTGCACTGTTGCCGTTTCAACTGGGGTTTGTGGTATCCTCGAGTGTCGCCCTCTGGCAATCGTCTACGTAGACGAGGGATTTATAAAAGGTATTAGTGAGGGATAGGAACTGGTGAGTATATACCGAGGGCTGTGGCACATAACCGTTGGAGTGGTGAGCGTACGACAAGTACGAAAACTACGGAAAGGGGAATGCCGACGACGAAGGGAGAAGTGAAAGGGGTGAGAAACATCCACTGGTGGGGCGAGACGATGAGGGGGTGGGGTGAAAAGTGGGGAGAGAGATTGGAGGGTTGTCGATGGGAGGGAGGGAGAGAGAGTCAAAGAGAGATAGGGGAGAGGGAGAGAAATGTGGGGGAGGGTGGGGTGGGAGAGAGGGGAAATACGATACGCGCGGAGGCACGTCTGTGTAGTGGCCGCGTGAGTAACGTGTGTACGCCAGACTCGCGCGCCTGCGCAAACCACTATTTTACTGGCACTGAATGAACCTCCCCCACTACCACCATTTACAATGACGCTATAGATCCCTCAGCGCGCCAACTCTACGTTGAGAATAAAAAAAATTTTTTCTTGATATATTATTTACTGACCAGTAAGAAATATATTTGGCATCACCCGTACATTGTGGAAGTATTTATATTGATTTGCTGGTGATAGGTTAGGATATTTGGGGAAAGAAGTTTTTTTCATCGGTTTAGTCTTCAAATTTTTTAAGTAAACTTTGTCGGCGTTTTTTTTTTAGATTGTTTATGTAATCGAGTTGAATAGTTGTAGAATGGGGACAATGCTGATAGATTGTTTTTTGGGAAATGATATAGTTTTTTTTATGTTAGGTATTGCAATTTGGTAATATTAATTGTATTATTATGTATTTGGTGGCTATTTATTGTTAATAGACTCAGTGAAGACCCGAGGGCGTGACGGGTTTATGTGGTAAACTGGTGGTTGTGGGTTTAAGCCGATTTTACAATTCTTTTAAATTAGTGTATGATTGAAGTTGAAGTATTAATTCCAAGAGAGATTTATAATATATTTTGTTCATGTATGTAAAATGGGAGATATTAAAAAACAAAATTAGAAGAAGTGTAATTCAAATTAATTGGAGAGAAAATTTTGGAAAGTCGATGAAATTCAAAGCGTTAAATTTTTCTCATCCGAATTTCATTACAGATTTAATTACTTTCTCTAAAAAGAGATATTATCATTCTACCCACAAAAAAAAGCATTTTTCCCAATTGCAAGTGAAGAAATCGATAAATCAAAAGCTCAAAGTAAATTTCACCATAAATTGTTTTCACAGGTACCAATTTGCGTGGTTTGTCAATATAAATTGTTTTCACCTAGTCATTGTTAATTAACTAGACAACTTGCAACATGTTCACTCTTTCGTGTGCATAACTGTACGTCTCTGCATAAATAGACTGCAAATCCCTCAACAAATCTCCGAATGACCGATGTCCTTTCACAACTAGTTCATTCACCCCTTCAGTAACTCGATTAAACACCGAAAGATTATCAATAATTCCCTAGACTTATTCCACCTCTGAAATGAGATTTTGGGGAATTCACGGGCGAATGCTCTCTCCCACAGCTCAGGGGTTGAAAATACCCCCGACATATGTCATGGTGTATGCAGCTGCGCGCGAAATCGCTATTGGGTGGATGGGTGACACATTTCATGAAAAACCCTTACCTGTACTGACCCACAACTGGCAATAGAGAGAAAGAAATTGAGAGAGTGAAGGAGAGAGAGAGAGAGAGAGGGGTGGGGGGAGAAAATAGGAAAAAATAGAAGACAGAGAGGGTCTTCTTCCTCGAAGGTTTTGACGAGTAAAAAAAAAAAGAGAAGCTAAATATTGATTTGCGAGACGAGTGCAACACCCCTCTACCTTCTGGCGCGGTTCACTACCCCCTAAACCTATCCTCCTTTGTTACCCCACAACTCGTTTCACCTACTCATGCCCTTTCACTCTTTTCGATGCACCCTCCACCCCTCAGAACGCGTCCTGGGCTCTGGCATTTTAATATCAAGGGGTGTCATCGCTCGACGACCACCGGTTAGTCCGCATTTCTGTCTACTCCCGGCACCTCTCTCTCTCTCTCTCTCTCTCTCTCTCTCTCCCCCTCGTCACTGTGGATTCGCAGTTTTTTTTTTGTGTTACATTTTTCACTCTCTGGGCATTCATGTGGCGCCCGTC